GGTTTTTTTTAATAAGATTTTAACGAGAAATATTATTTTTGTAATGAATGTCCATAACTAAAAGACATTCACTCGTTTCAATAATACTCTAATGTGTGTGAAACTTTCGAATAGATCAATAAAAGCTATTTTTCGAATCATCATATTACTACAGTCATCAAAAGTTGATAAATATCTCGCATGAAGACAGTATTATTTGAAGACATTGAAGTATAAAATAGTGCTAAATTGATACAAAAATCGAAATTAGAGGAGCATCTGTATTCTTTTTCCTTAACTCAAGTTTTGTCCCACTGAATTTTCTTGACAAGGTTTTAATGAGACAAATATTTTGTAATATGTCATTGAAAGGGGAGTTGTAAATAATATAATTATGAGTAAATGACAATTATACTATTGCAACCCTAATGTTTATTATCATTATATCCCTAATTTTCCCTATAAATATGAGGTTTTGGTTTTCAATAAAATACACACAAATCTATTGATTTTTATTCTTTTTTTCTCTATTTTCATGACATCTTGATAATTTGTTATCATTGAATGTGAGTTGGCGCATAAGCAATGATTTGGCGGATTTGTTTACATTAATCTAGCTAATTAGTTCATATTTTTTATTGTATAAGGTTGAAGGATAACAAAAAATAATGTGCACTATTACTTTTGATGGATGAGTCCGAAAAACTATGGTGTACAAACTGTTGCATTGTCGTTATTGAATGTATATGATAGTATTTGGGCAATGGTCTTAGGGTCAATTATCTTGCTATTATTGATAAAATTTGATGTGTAATAAATAAAAAGGTGAATTTAACTCATACTTGAAGGGTAGTGTGAAAGATAAAATCTTACTAATAAATTATTCTCTTTCTTAACATATCCAAATTTGAAATTAAATGTAAACTTTATATGAACTGGATAGTCATTTATGTCAACTGAGAAAAATTAGCCCATAACCTCATTCAACAACAAAAAAAAAAAAATTAAATATACCCTATTTTTGAGTTAATCATAATTAACTCATGTAATCAAAACTTAAATAAAATATACATACCACATTTCTTCCCATCATTTATGCCAAAGAGGTAAAGGGGTTTCTTTCATATTTTTTCACAATTCTTCCATATTTAATCCTAAAAGTCAGTTGTTTGATAATCTCTCAAGCACGACCAAAGTTAAGATGGTATGAGGTGAAAACCTACCAATCCACGATTGATTCCCTCTTGAATAAGACCATAATTGACTACAACAACGTTAAAATAGCTCGAGGATTCTATAACATGCATGAACATCGACAAAGCTACCCGAGGCTTGGAAAGAAGGGGCTCGGTTGAAACAGACAAGATGGGAACACCATATTAAAAACTTGTCTGGAGTAACTTTTCAGGGGAGAAAAATCAATTTTTGGACCGTTGTAAGCCAAAATCAGCCATCTTTGTTGACTTTTGCTCTCATATTGGGTCCTAAACGGTCAAAAAGTGTAAATAATTGAGGAGAAAAAGCTTCACAAGACAAAGTCTAATTGGAAAATAGAAGATGCCCTTGATCGGGCGCGTATAAAAGGAACAACTTTTTCGCCCGATGTTGAAGGTCAAACAAAAAGGCATCTTAAACTGTTGGTTAGCAGGACGACACCGAACAACGACCCAGAGACCTCAAGAGATGGTTCCATGTTCTTCCTGAGCCAAACTAGAAAGTAATAATTTAAGGCACAGAGAGCATTTGGGACCAGTCGCCGGAGGGAAAGATTGAAAGTGTTGAAAAAATTGACTAAGAAGAGGTGAAGGGAAAATCTAAGACCTGCCTTTAGACTATCTTTGTAAAGTGCCACCTCGTCTTATTGTCCTAAAGGGAGTCGTTCGTGAGGCTCAAGGGTCCAATACACGTGGTCTGTAAATAGAAAGAAGTCTTTAAGGTCCCAAACAATTTTATCTCATTGTAACTTGTAAGTACTAGAGAATCGGGAATAGTATGCAATATCGAGGCAACTGGGAGTCTACCCTCTCGCTGCTGCGTCAGAATATGTAATCCAACATCCCGAGTGTACTACTCTGATTCTAGTCGGTCCAATTATTATTGATTATGATGTTGCAAGATACTCAAATTCTAGTAGGTCCAATTCCCTGGACGCGACGAGAAAATTGCTAAAAATCGATAAATACCATTTCTATTTTGAAAAATTAAATTGCAAGACACTTGAATTCTTTTAGTAGGCTAGTGATTATTTGCTTTGATCAAACATGAGGGGAATTCAGTATTTAACAAAAACATTGGGGCCTTACTGCGGAAAGTACTATATAGGGAGTGTCACTAGGGAATCTTATCTTTTGTTAGTTTGTTCATACTGTAACTCTTGTTGCATAGCATTTTCAGTGAATTGTTCTATCACAAGCTCACAGTACTAGAGTAATGAAATTTATTGATCTGAATAATTATATTTCTAAGAAAAATAATTGCACATCTGTATCTCCTACAAATACACAATTTAAGTATATCCTACTGGTGTGATAATGTAGGTAAGAATTTTGAGATTGATTCGACTGGAATTAGTAGCTTGGGAGGTCACAGTTGAAGCAGGTTCCACTGTGTGAATTGGTTTGCAACCGAGCACGGTCGAATGCCCTTCAGCAGCTGGTTTTGGTGGCAATGGAATTTCGAGTTTTTCTTTCACAGTTTTTCCAGTCAATCAATTTAGCTCGCTTACTTGTATTCTTATGAGTTCCCAGGTTTTGTAAATATCAAATTACCTAGCTTTTGTCATAATCTGGTGATAGAGATGGAATTACGACATTCACTTAGGCTGTGTTTGATGTGCATAGTTTTCTAGGGAAGTTGGAAAATAAATTCCATTTTCCAACTTTATGGCTGTTTGATAGCCAAACTTTTGCCAGCAATTTGTTTTCCACCAGCCACCTTCACGCGCCAGTTTCTAGCTTTTTGAGGATTTTGTTTTCTTTTGGTTTTGGTGGAAATATGTTTTCCAGCTTTTTTTATTTTTTTTTGCTTTTTGNTTTCAAAATTTTTTTTATTTTTTATTTTTTTTTACTTTTTGGCAATCCAAACAAATTCTATTCTCAATTCTAATAAAATTTATTCTTTAATTGACAATTTTCATGAAAAACAAAGCTAAACGGAAAACGTGGAAAATTATACCAATCAAACACAATTAATTACAATTCTCAATAAAAAAATTCTAAGCAATTCAATTCACTGTAAAATATTTTCTTTCCACCCATTTTCCACATTTGCAATCAAACGCACGTTTAGGTTCTTAGTCTTGTGCCTGTAATATGATTTCACTTGGTTTATTGCAATTTTATGCTCTCTTTTTTCTTCTTTTACTTGTTCAGCCCTTCACAGCAATCGTTTCTTTATTTAGGTATATAGAAACAGTAGCAATTCATTTATGTGAATTAGTAATTTCAACAATGGTTGATTACAACAAAAATATCTGAGTATTTTGTGATGACAGGCTATTTAACTTTTTTCATTTTGCTTTTGATTCAATCTTCTGAATTCCTATATACTCTCTCACATCTATTTGACATAATAGTTTTTGGAGCACAATGGAAATTATCTTAATTGCCTTCATGATTATACTTTGGATAGTTCAAAATGGTTATGAACAGGTTCTTTAGTTCCTATAATTTCAGACACTGAACTTTGGCCATTGATATTTATTTAATTGTGGAGAATTCTCAGTCTGTGAAATATATAACTAGGACTGTGCTGGATTTGGACAGCAATCTATTGAGGATGTTAGCTTTAACTTCCAAACTTCTAAAAAAAAAAAAATTCGTTTGGCAGGGAAATCGAGGATTTATGAAGAATGATCTCAGTACGGTGGATGCTCGTTACAAGCACGCATCTCAGTACAATGACATGTTTGAAACGTTAAATTAAACATGTTTCTTAATTAAGTCTTCCAATTCAACATATCAAACATGTTCTTCGCATTACCTATGGATTGGATCTATGCTCGCAATTCTAGTGTCCATCAAAACGTCTTCGTGCAGGCTGAGTAACAAAATTTGAGTGGGCACAGTAAAAATGAGGGTAGGAAAAACGGTGTTTCTTCTTTCCAACCGTACTTCTTGTTATGATCATCTACCAGCCCATTCATTATCCAGTAGACAAGTTACACCGAGACCGTAATCAAGCCAAGGCTTGTGCTCTGTTAGCAAAGCTTCGAGCCTACTTAAATGCCTTACACTCACAATGCCTAATCTACTAAAAGAGGGCTTATAGCGAGCAAAGCAAGCTTTCCCCCTTCGTTTGTTGCGGACCGTGCCTCACCGCAGGCACTGAATGCTCAGTCATCTCCAAGGATAGAGTAATTGGAGATGATATCACCATGCACAGTAGAAAACCAGTTACCTTCCTCACCAAGACGATAAATCACACTCACTGCATCTCAAATATTCGAGATTCTTACTGGAGACAACACTGGACAGTTTCAGCAACGAGTGATTCACATTAGTTGCATTCTGTTCTTTGTAAGCAGCGGGATGTTTATGCTTTTAGGACATTCAATCATTGTCCCTTACCATTGAAATGATTTGTTGGGATGCTGAAGATAATCTTGAAGATTTGATTTTATTTGGAAGAAAACGCTTATCTAGCCACTTCACTTACAAAGCATGCAATACATTTCATTTCGTTTAGTACATAAAATACAGCCAAGAGCCAAGTTCACGGAAATTTTGCCTGTTGTACAGGTGAACTTGTATATTCAAACTGCAGAAACGCTGCTTATGCTGCTTGTCCTCTGCAAGGCCTATAAGTCTTCAAAAATATATCCACCCTACCCCTACAAAAATTTCCTCTCATTATTCACCATTACTAGCTATACATACAAACAGGAATCGTTGCATTTTCATTTCTCAATCTTACACAATAGTTCTTCAAAAATTTTATAAGAAAATCAAATCCTTGAATGGCTGGTCCAATGATCTGTTATAACACGTTTTGATAACTAGGCTATCCGCCACACCATTTCTCTACAAGTTTGAACTTCTTGTGCTGCTATGGGAATTGTCGAGAGGAAAACAGGTTTCTTCCCCACCAGTGCTCCACAAGAAATTGGCATATCTAGAAGCATAATAAGAATTCTCAGGTTCGGCAGCCAACGCCTGAAGAAATCTTTCTTCAGCTCCCCAGAAGTCCCTCTTTACTGTCCATAAAAAGTTGGCATACCGGCTCAGGGACTCTGCATCTGGTGGCAACACTTGAACTACCCGTTTGTAGCACTCCTCGGCCCTGTTAAAATAAGTATAAAGTCAAACGTAAATTGAGGGCAAACAAAAATCAGGTCCAAAGAAATTATGTAAAGCAAAATCATCTGCAATAAAAAGCAGCATATACTATAATAAATTGACAATGTGTTTTAATATAACATATGCATCTCAACTCTATTGGAACACATAGTGGTTATGCTAAAACCAGATTTGTCTAATTACCTTGCATAATCACGTGCAACAAGGTGCAAGAATTGAGCATAGTTGCAAAGTAAAAGTGGATTATTTGGCTCCCGAGACAAGTGCATCTGGTAAAAAAAATCAGTCCTAAGATAGTCCTCGTATTCATCAGATTCGAGCTCCACAAACACCGGGGAAACAAAATGTTGCACCATGTCGTGATCAAGGACCTCATCCTTCAAACTGGATTGCATCTTTCTAGCATCATCTATCATGGAATTCCACAAGTTCACCTCTTCGGCACTTCTCAAAGCATGCTCACTGCTTCCTGGTAAATTGCCAATTTCCATGTTTCCACCAATATTTCCTACATCTCTATCTTCCTTAACCAAAATTGTGTCCATTGATGTTTCAATTTGTGGATAATGTCCAGTTTGTTTTTCTTCAATTAATAATCCACAGGATGCTGCAAAAGAAACATTATGGGACGCAGAGCAGACACTAAAATTTGCTAAAAGGACCATTACATAGATCATCAAAGATGGAGTTTTTGACAACACTTGTTGAAACAGCCATACAAATGAAGGATGCATTTCTTTCTGGACCTTACCCTTAATCATCTCTAAATCTTCAAGGCATAACTCTTCTCTAGTCCGTAATGCATAGCTCTGTAACTCGACTATGATGCTTACCATTGAAGCAAAGGCCTTTTTCATTGCTGACTCTTCAGAATCAATAAAGCCCTCATCCCGTCGCAATTTCTTCTTTATCATCCTCAAGGATACGGGAAGATCAAAACTCTTTGCCTTGTGTTCAATAATTGCCCGTATAACAGCCTCCCGTTCAGGCCAAACCGGTGGATCTGGCCTTATACCGAGCATTATAGGCTCCAATAAATAAAACTGAGATGGGGAAAACGACTTTTCATCCATTCCATATCTATTATCAAAAGAGTTTCTTTCCAGTATTGTGCAATGCTGCTTGTTTTCTTGATGTCCTTCATTCTCTCCACCAAACCGTACCCCAAATCCTTTACCTAATCGATCTTCGTGAAAAATTTCATCCAAATTAGACCAGCAAGATCGCGTAATGGTAATTGTATGATCTCTTGAGAGAGTCTTCTTGAAAATACGAGACTTGTTGGAAAATTGAATCCTTCCGCATTTTTTGGTGGAAGAAGATGGGATAAAGAGGGATAATTGGATTGAAGAAGGAGTAAAGGCTTGAAGGACTTGGTGTGGAAATTCTACAACAGCGTTTAGCGTCATGGTTTGTCAAACCCAGAGAAAGGCTAAACAGGCTAGTAATGAAAAAGAAATAGCAATAGACCAACGGCTGAGCAAGAAGAAAGGTGGGTGGTTAAAAATAGGGAAAATAAGAAATAGTCAGAATTTGATAACAGAAACCCCGTGGAAAATGGATTCTTAAAATCCCCGAAAAAGAAAAAGAAAAAAGAAAAACACAGTGGTTCTTGTTGAAGCTAACACAAAAACACAAACACTGCAAAATGGCTTCTTCCCTTTTTATTTTCTCATTCTCTTTCATACAGTAAATATTCCAAGTTCTAACACAATAATCAAATTCTTGTTCAACTAAACAGGAATTTTATCAGATAAATGTTAAATTTTAAACAAACCCAACTGTTGCTTGTCTATGTCTTGATCAAATTGATGATTATCCATTCTCAAGCCCTGTAGTCCCAAAACAACATAAAATCGAAAACCAGGGAAATTACAAGAGATCCTTCAACGTACCAGAGAGTCTCCTCCTCAAGGCAGAGAGTCTGTAAAATTGCAGATTTTAGCTTAGTTCTTAGAATGTTTTGTTGATGATAGTTTCGAAAGAGAAAATAATATTTTATTTTTTAGAGAGAGGAGAGAGAGAATAGAGGATAACTATGAGAAGATGACGAGTTGCATGCACTTTTAGGACCATTATCGTATCGTACGATGAGTTGCAGAAGAGACCAAAACACGTGTACGTCAAACACACCCAAGCCCAACAAGATCTTTTCTTTCTTCTAGAATCTAGATAGGAAAATTATAAGAAATCAGAGATTTAAAAATAATTTTTTAAAAATCAGGTCCAAAATTTATTTATTCAAAATTCAGGAAAATATCAAAACTCTAACCTTAATTCATCACTATCAACTACCTCACAACTCTATCTCTCTCGATAGTAAAAATATAAGAAATCAGAGATTTAAAAATAATTTTTTAAAAATCAGGTCCAAAATTTATTTATTCAAAATTCAGGTAATATCTCAAAACTCTAACCTTAATTCATCACTCTCAACTCCCTCATCCCTCTCTCTCTCTCTCTCTCTCTCTCTCTTCACTTTCCCCCGCCTCTCTCCCTCACCTCTCTCTCTCGCCTCACTTTCCCCCGCTTCTTTGTAGTGTTGCCTGCGTCATCGAAGACCACGGTGGAGCTGGTCGCTATGCAGCGAGTGCCACTTCATCTCTAAGCTTCGCTGTGCAGCGGGTCGGTTTGGTGTGCTTCAACGTTTTGCATCACGGATCTGAACCGGGTCTGCCTAAGTGAACTGGAAGTAGGTGGAAGGGAAGCCAGTAAGAGTGCGTGTGAAGCTTTCGAGAGTCCAGAGTATTGCTGCAGAGACGCGTTTAACTCACCTGCCACCTGCAAGCCGTCCGTTTATGCTCAGATGTTCAAATCTGCTTGTCCCAAATCCTATAGCTACGCTTATGATGATCCTACCAACACTTTTACCTACTCTGGTGCAGATTATATTGTAACCTTTTGGTAGTGCAATAGTGGTGGCGGTTGTGGTTTTTGGGCTCCTCAATCTGAGTGTCGCTGCGGCGGACTGTGAGCTCACTCAGATCTTAATCACTGCACGGCGTTCAGTCGCAGTGGTTGTGGGTGAGTGTGGATGTGGGTGTGGGTTAATGGTGTGGTGATGGGTTGATGGTTGTGGTGATGGTTGTGCGGTGGATCTAGGTAGGACGGTGGTGGTGGTTGTTGGCAGTGGTGATTTGGGTGGTGTTGGTGAGGTTGTGTGGTGATGGTGGTGAGGTAGATCTAGGAAGGACGGCGGGGGTGGTTGTTGGCAGTGGTGATTTGGGTTTTCTATGACTAAAAATATAATCCGTAACCTTAAAATTCTATAATCTGTAACTAAAAATATAATCCGTAACCAACCATTTTTTCATCTGTGACCTAAAAATTATATAATATGTGACCGTAAAAAAATCTGTGACCAATTAATTTGAAAATCTGTGATTGTGTGACCTATAAACTTTGATTTGTGAGCAACTAATTTTGAAATCTGTGACCAACGAATTAATGTGACCTATGAAATTTTTGAATTATGACTATAAATTATAAATTTGTGACCAGAATGGTCACCAGAATAGTCGTCGGAATAGGAGCAGTCGTCGGAAAAGAATGGTGGTCGAAATGGTCGTCGGAATAGTCCCCGAAGCTTTATGGGTTGTGCATGTGGGATGAGTTAATTATATTATATTAGAATTAAATATTTAATAATAAATTGATTTAATGATTTATTATTTCATAAATAAAAATAAAAA